CAAGTCCTCCATCCCTTCATTTTTCTTCTTTGATGTAATTTTATACACTTTTTATAAGCTAAGGACTTCAAAATCCTTATCTCCATCCTGGGCCTCTCTCCCTAGTGTCAGACTTGCAGTCACTCAACTGCTCAATGACACCTCCCTAAGGATATCCAATGGGCCTCTGAGATTTAACATAGTCAAACTGGACTCTGGATTCTCTGCTGCCCCCTGCATCTCCCAAGCTTCCCCAACTCTGCCATCAACCACCATCCCACCAGCTGCTCCTCCCACACCTGACACCATCCTACTCACCTGCTCCTTCTCTTCCCTCACCCTTGTCAGTCCTACCTCTCACATGCATCACAACTCTGACTGCTTCTTCCCACTCCTGCTTTGGGACTCCAGAACCTGCCATTTCTTTGTCCCAGAAGGCTCTGCTCCCCTCACCCCTCCTCAAGATCAACTTGACTGGCTCGTATGGATCCTATTAAGAAGAAACTCTCCTGAGACTATGCCTTAGGGGATCATTTCTAGAGGTCATTCCTGGAGAAGTTTCTCTGATCTTGAAGAGTCCTGGAAACCATGAGGAAGGGGCCCAGAGTTCCCTCCTGAGGGTGAAGGCAGCTCTTGCAACTGCCTTTGCAGTTGATGACTGTTCTTCTCTCCCCTCATTTGTGTGAGTGGGGGCAATGCAGTCTGTGGGCTTCCCACTTAAAATAAAAAGAGTGGAGGATGTCAGGTTAGAACATCCCTCATTCCCGCCCCTAGGATTTTGTATCTTTTTTTTTAAAATTCACATCTTTATTTTGAAAATTCAAAATAAAATTCAACCTTTCTATACAGTAAATATCAAAACCAGCCCGCCTTCCCACACACACACATTTTTCCAACCACGTGTCCATTATGTCAGTCACAGCCCCTTTCCCAGAGACCTCAGTTCTCTATAGTTCCACAGAGATCACTTTCTCCCCCAAGTCTTCTTCCTAATTCTTTTTCCAGGATAGGATATAACCCTCGATGGAGATGAGGTAAACTGAAGACAGGTACCAACAAAGGCCTGACTGACTGACAAAGTCCATCGTCCATTTTCAGCACCAAACAGCAAGATCCTCACCAAGTCTTGTTTTTGTAGCCCCCATCCAGGGACAGCACCACAAAGGCTGCAAGAGAACTGAGTTTAATCGAGTAACTTGATAAATAAAGCACCGATGGGGAAAAAAAAAGCCTATAATCACAATTTATCACTTCCACATCAGACAGGAGTTGGCATTAGAACTTCCAACAGAGATCAATACAGAAGTGAGGAGAAAAAGTACCTTTGGCCACTATAATATAAAACCTAGAGTGCTCCAAGGAATGGATTCAGCAAATATTTAAGAAACAAGCCATCGAAGCCTCAACCTTTGCTTACAAACTTTATTGAAGTTATACAAAAAGAATCCCCAAAAGTGAAAAAAATACATTATATACAAAAACACTCTCTTGGGAGGAAGATTCTGTTCCCTCTCAACATGCAGTGCTTTCAATAGTAACTCTAGCCTCCACTGTCCCCTCCACTGCTGCCCTGCTGATCTTGTACCTTGATCTACATCATTATGTCACATGCAACCTACTATAGCTGACAGTTTAGTTTCTGTGTGTGTGTGTGTGTGTGTGTGTGTGTGTCCCTATAAAATGAAATCCCCAAGTAATAAATGTCTCCATCTCTTATGTTTAGTACTGTGGCCCCTCTATTGGTAAGGTTTTGCCACATGGGGATTTCCAATGCATTGTGGCAAGAAGGAAGGGAGGGAAGGAAGCCCTGGGTACCTGCCTCAGCTCCAGGGAGTTGCTGTGTGACCTAGGGTAAGTCACACCTATTTCTATGGTTACTTGTTGGATGTACCAGCCCTCTTCCTGGCTCACTGACATCTTAAGGGAATCATATAATGTTGCCATAAAAGTTTAAGTTTTTCTAAGATGCTTTCCTAACTAAATGTTTCAAATCTCCAGATTAAAACCCCCATCTCTTAACTTTCTTTAAAGTACTCCCCTCCACTTTGGTCTAGGTTGTGTGAGAACAGGTAACAACAGTTCACTCATTTCAGCAGACCATCTGCCCCTCCCCACCCTCCTGTGTCTTTCTCTCCTCTCATGT